TATTATCTTTTTGAATAAAATAGTCTTTTAAAAAAGAAACCAGTCTAACAAATAAAACATTTGTATATTTGAAGTTATTTTGCTCTGTGCAAAACACAGATATTTGCTGCTTGGACTGGAGAGTGTGGAAAGCTGGTTTAACCAAGGCCAAAGATCCAGAAGGCCAAACTACAGGAGCTGTCCATCTAAGGGACATGTGCAGTCTAAAAGACATTTAACCATGAAATGTTCAGYTTGTGATGTTTATATGACACACACCCAGCCCCTCTGCCACTTAGGTAGTTTACAAAATTTTTGTAGAGTRAAAATAAATAAATAAAAACTCAGTGGACTGCTTTGGCGTGATGTCTCGAGACTTTGCAGCTGATAGGAGTCATAAAACAGAACAGGGGGATGCCCTGACGCCCCTMTARATAAATGTGTTAAATGAGTGAAGGAAAATCTAGGTTCTCCCCTGAGGACCAGACCAAAAATTTTATGTGCAACCCTGGTTATATGCTTGGTTCTGCGCGACGTACAGTGGGAAGGAGGGAGAACTTGTGAGGATTTATCCYCCGCAACACAATACTTTAGTTTGGGAAAGTATTTAGACTTATTGTGGTAGAACATGAGACAAGAATCTGTCAAAGTTTACTCCTGTAAATTAATACGACCCTTCAACTTTATAGAGGGGCTGAGTGGGGCAGTCGGTTCTGTTAGAGGAAAYGCTGGATCTTTTAAAATAAAACATTTAAGAATTACAAACAAATTAAGCACAAAAACAATTCCTGTTTTCTGATGTAATGATTGATCTTTCTCAGAGTTCGGCTCGAGGTGGAAGAGGTGAAACAGAAAAGCAAAGATGAAGAAGATGTGAGTCTTTCTTTYTTTTTKKTTTTTTTACATGTACAGCAATGTTCGTTATGTTTGTCCGTTCTTGAAATGATGAGTGTTTTCCTGTTCTGTGTCGCAGAGTGACGTTCCTACTGCTCAGAGGAAACGCTTCACTAGAGTAGAAATGGCCAGAGTCTTAATGGAGAGGAATCAGTACAAGGAGCGGCTGATGGAGCTGCAGGAAGCTGTGAGGTGGACTGAGATGATCAGGTAACAAGACAAGGTGGAGGAGATAATGAAGACGACAGCTAGCTTTAACACACATATGTCTAATAACATGTTTAGCCAATATTATAGTTGTTTACTGGAATTACTGATGATCCTATTTAATGTATATACAGACATGTGTAACAGGACAATAATGTGACAAAGCATTCCTTTTTATATATATTGTAATTTGTATGACTATTAAATTATGTTTTTGGCCTTAAAGCAGAAACAGGTTATAGTTTAGTAAATCTGCCATAAACTGCCTGGATTTCTAAAAATCAGTATTAGATTAGACAGTTATAAACACCATAAATGGTCTAATTCTCCCTTCTAAATGTGTGATTTTTTTATCATGGAATTTGTTTGTTCTTTTTAGGGCTTCAAGGGAAAATCCAGCTCTCACAGAGAAAAAGAAATCCAGCATCTGGCAGTTGTGAGTCCTTTCAAGTATTCTGTAATAGTTCTGTAAAGAGTTTTAATTTGATAAACACTTCTAAGGTGTCTTTTATTTGATTTTTTTTATCTCTTCTGGAATGTGCTATTGAATTGGCAGCGTTAGGTAAACTTAACCTTCTGAATTTTTGCAAAACCTGTTGTTATTTTTTTTACCTTGACTGATACAAAACTGCTCCTAATTTCCTAAAGGGTCCTAGATTTTAATGCGTCTTTATTCAGTTGTTGCATTTCATTTGTTGTTATCACTATAACTTCTTAGAGACTCTCCTTGTGTCCCTGGGTTCTTCTCATCTCCTGCCTGCTCTGTGCCTCTTGATGTTTTTCTATTCTGTCTACTTGTAGGGAGCAGCAGGTAGACCAGATGTAAAAATACATAACGTGGTCTTTTGTTTAAAACTTAAAGTCATGTTGTAATGTCACTCTAGTACAACTTTTCCGTCATATTTAGCAGTTTTAATAAATCACCGTATTTAACAAACAGGATAGGTTCAGTGGAGATTATTGCTGAGTTATACTACAACTCCCAGCATGCTTTTTGTTTGTCACTGTACTCTGAATGTTGGTGATATTTGTTGCTCCTTTATTGTCTGGTTGGTGACCCACCCCATGTTGGTTTTTCCCTGCATTCCTGTCGGCTCTGTTCTCGTCTTGGCTTTTCTGTAACTTCACCATCTGCAGCTTCAGCAGACTGTTTAGCTCCTCCTCCAGCGCGCCCGCCATGAAAAAGGTGGATTACCAGTCAAATGTGAAGTACAACACCCCGGGCAGCTTGGTGAAGAGGAGCAGCACATTCTCACAGTTCCCCACCGAGAAGTCCAAGACTTTTGACTTTCTCAACGACGAGTGAGTGATGGAACAACAGACAGTGACGTGTCTTCAATAAACCTGCTGGCAGAAAATGTTGATTTCGCCCTCTAAACCTCTCGTAGAACGGATCAATGCAGCTCACCCTCACGAAAGGAGCAGAAGAAAGCTCAGTACCAGCAAGTCAAGGCCCACATGCAGAAAGAAGATGGGCGAGTCACTGTGCATGGCTGGAGCCTGCCCAGCAAACACAAGGTGGAAATGAAATCAGGATTAAAAAAACCCAAATGAAACAAATGTAAATATGGTTAAAAATCTACAAGATGTAGCTCAACTTGTGTAGATTATTTAAAATTTATATAACATTTTTTATTTTGTCATTTAAGACCTTTAATTTTGATTAATTTTCTAACATGCCAGTTCATCATCACATTGGAACAGAGTTATTA